AAACGTTGAAACGTATTCTGCGAAACGGGTATGCAGGACTGTACGATACGGATATCGGTTTCTATTAGGAGCAAATGCCAAAACCGATATTCGTTTTGTAAGCTACGGATTTTTTTTAGAGAGTGGTAGTGCCACAAACAGCAAAAAAGAAAGAAAAACGAACGGAATATTCACATAGTAGAGATCACCAGTTCTGCTCTCGAAAACTGTTGACAAAAAAGAGAAAACCAAACTAACTTTCTTAATGTGAAATATGAAAACGTTTGTTCTACTTAGGTGAGCAAATTCGTTTTCGGCAAATTAGTGATTCTTTAGACGAAAAAAATTTTTTTTCTCTCGACCAGCCGGTCAAAATAGTTTTCGCTTCATCGGCAGGCTGACCGACTGGTCAAAAGTTTCTGACAAAAAAAACTCTCACTTTGACAAAAGGTTGCCCGTATCGGTTACATCTCTGGACCATTCTGCTATCAGCGCTTATGATCAGATATATAATATATTTGTTACTTATTCTGTTCTTTTCTACGCTAAACAAAGGAAAGGACATCACAAATGCATCTTATATCAATAAATGAATTTAAGCTTTCTTATCTTAATCTGTAACCTGTTTTACTCGGTCTTGTCTTCGAGAATAGAGTACAATGTAAAACAAAGGCGACTAATTGCTACAATGGGAGAGTAAGAACAAGAAATTACACTTTTTCTACTTAAAACTCCGTTAAGGAAAGAACTTCTGTTATATAGCAAAATAAGCAGGGCAATAAGGATAAGATAATTTTAAGAAATACATAAGAATTTATGTATTTCTATATTTATGTACCACTTTCACCCCATCATACACCCCGCTCCGTACGTGTATTCTTTATATAAACTTTTTCGTAGTACATGACTAAAACGTTTTTACGGCATAAGATTGTAGAGCAGACAATTCTCTACACAATAAGATGTTCGAATAGGATACACGACATAACGGTCGGAAATTATTNCGAGTTCTTTTGACAAATCTTGACGATGATCATTGAAACATCGTCGGCACAACTTTTCTAAACAGCCATCGCATGTCAGTATACCACAATTTTTCACAAAGCAGGCTTTTGGTAAAATTAAAAGTTTGACCAGTTTTTGCAATGTTAAAATAATCTAAGATCGTCTAATTGACAGAGAAAATTCTGCTTTATAAACTAGCAGGGTTTTCTAAAAACTTGGTTTTCCACGGATCTGGTGTGCAGAAATTTTAATGAATTTTCATATACACCTCATCTGATTATCAACTCTTTCAGTTGTTCAAATCTTTTTTCACATTTGTTCTACTTATTATGATCGAAGAGAAAAACTAAAAATAGGGAGGTCCACCAACCCTAAATCAATTTTTTTGCTTATTTCTCTAGCTTTGAGCCGCCAATCAACATTTAGGGCTTTTCTTGTAAACTCTATAACTTTGCAAAGAAAACTCATGTAGAGCTGGAAATTATCTCATTTTAATCAGAAATGTGCGGGCTACAATCATACCTCATTAAGAAAGGTTTTGGTTATCTTTTAGAGTTTGCGAAAAACTGGTTTTGAGGGAATGGATTTCTGGAGGGCCAGCTGCCCGTCTCATGTCGATATTCAGAATCAGTATGATCGATTACCTATCACCCACTAGGTTTCGTCTGAAAAGCGAGTTGCTCGGTCGTTTACCTTCCTCGTTGATTTTCAAACTTTTGTTTTTAATGTTAATGTTGTTAATGAAAAATAGAAATAAATTTGCGTATTTCTTTTACTTATTTTGAAAAGAATTGTGTACAAAGTATGACTGTTCCGTCATCGCTAAAGAAGGAAAAAAAGTTTTTTTGTGTTTATCCAATTACTCACCTTTTTTAACTCAGTGTCGACTATACAAACTTACACAGAACACGTTTTTCAATCTAAACTGACCAGCGAGTGACGCAGAAATTTTTCACATATATTACACCGATGACAAACATAAGCTTAGGGTTTTGTGCCGTTACCTTTCACTAACTAAAGATCTTTTACCGTTAACGTTAATACGAGACTCAAACAGAGTGGGTTTTCTTCCAAAAGAAGAAATATTTTATGCAAGTTTTAAATGGCAGCTACATCAAAAGTTCAATGTGCGAAATGTGAGAAAAATTCTGGTATACTGACATGCGATGGCTGTTTAGAAAAGTTGTGCCGACGATGTTTCAATGATCATCGTCAAGATTTGTCAAAAGAACTCGACAATGTTGTTTATGAACACGATATGCTCAAACAGCAGCTCGAAACGCCATATGAAAATGACTCTCATCGTTTGTTGAAACAAATTGATACTTGGAAAAAAGACTCTATCGACAAAATTAATCATCTGGCTGGTCAATGTCAGAGTGAAGTTGTTAAATTGCTAGATAAAAACAAAGACCGGCTTACGGATAGATTTGTCAAAATAACGAATAGAGTTCGTAAAGGTAGAGACGATGAAGATTATGATGAACGAGATCTGAGCAAGTGGATGAATGAGTTAAAAGAAATAGAAGATGAACTTATCGAACCATCGAACTTCCGCGTCGAAGAGGATAAACAACAATCTTCTTGGATTCAAAAGATCAGAGTACACGAAGATTTCCGCGACCAAGCAAAAGCAACAGATGGTAAATTATAATTAAACCCAGTTTACCTTTGTCAATAGAGATATTTAAGAGTCTGCGGGCACGTAAATAGCCTATTTTTGTGAAGCTGAGTCAGATCTTACCGATTTTTTCACATATATTAAAATGCCAAATATATTTTGACAGAGTTTATTTTTTCTGAGGGATACTTCGACTTAACAGCTAGCCAGTTCACCAATTACCGTATCGCAATCAATCAGCATAACTATAGTAGATCATACAAAAGTATTCACCAAAATATCCAATAGTTCTTTAACCAGGGCCTACATTGTGAAGTTGTCAGTAAAATATGACCTACAAAGCTCCATACAGTATTCATATTAGTATTATATTAGAGAAATAAAGGTTCTGCATGTCTTCAAGCTCCATTTCCTCCCTCTTCAGGTTATTCAAACCTACAATTTTCACCGTTATCACCGGTCAAGCCACCAACAGTTGGAACGCAATTGAAAACGTCCAGTGTATCAGGAACATATCTAACAACACTATCGAAGGAAGAGCACAAAATTATAGAAAAATTAAGCTCTCATGATACAAGAATTCTTAACGTTGGCAGTGGCAGTATATCAGCTGAAGGGGCAAAAGTAATTGCAGAAGCTTTGAAAACAAATCAAACATTAACACATCTTTATATGGAGAACAACAATATATCAGATGCAGGGGCAAAAGCAATTGCAGAAGCTTTGAAAACAAATCAAACATTAACACATCTTTATATGGAGAACAACAATATATCAGATGCAGGGGCAAAAGCAATTGCAGAAGCCTTGAAAACAAACCAAACATTAACAGTTCTTGGTATTCAGAACAACAATATATCAGATGCAGGGGCAAAAGTAATTGCAGAAGCTTTGAAAACAAATCAAACATTAACACATCTTTATATGTCGAACAACAATATATCAGATGCAGGGGCAAAAGCAATTGCAGAAGCCTTGAAAACAAATCAAACATTAACACATCTTTATATGTCGAACAACAATATATCAGATGCAGGGGCAAAAGTAATTGCAAAAGCCGTGAAAAAGTATAAGGTGTGTGCAGTGTATCATTAGTGCCTTGAATGTGTTGATGGAAGACACGGACGTTGGTGAAGAATTGTTTTTGAAAAAACGATCTTTTACCGCCTCTCATGCCTAGGAGAAGAACACAAGATTTTTTGCCTTTGATATGTGAAAAAGTCGCAGGATATAGTCCAGTTATTTCGTGCGATGATTCTAAATGCAGCTTAGTTTTTCTTATAAATGCTCCTGGGCTCATGAAAATTGATTTTGCAGGAAAAAACAGGGGTCTGAAGAAAACGCGCCGTATGGTCTAGTAACATTTGTGCTATCTGTACAAGTATAATAGAGGTAGATGAACACATTCACAAAGTTTGAGTATGGATGAAACTGGGAAATAATATGAGAATGGTTTTTGCTGCTAGGCCTTGGGAGACTGATTTTTCTAGGAAACCAGTTTTCAAGAAAAGCCCTAAATGTTCATTGCAAAGAAAGGTCGTGTACAGCTGGGAGACGTCTCACTTTAATCAGAAATTTCCAGGCTACAATTGCACCTCATTAAGAAAGGTTGTAGTTATTGTCTAGAATTTCTGTAAAGCTGAATTTCTAGAAAACTCAGTCTATCAATACCTAGCAGCAAAAACCATTGTCATATTCGGATTTAGCACACCCTATTACCTATTGTCCAGTGAGTCTTAGCCTAAAAGCGATTAGACAGCTGGTGTCCCATCCTCGTCACTTCAAGCTCATCTTCACAGGTCTGATGTAGTTTTTCTCCATGATTAAACCTAGCACCTCAAAAAAAACATTTTCACTGCGGTGTCGTAACACTATAAATACTAGACCCGAACTCAATAAATCCATAGATCAACCGCTTTCATCGCTTATATTGTCCAGGCATTTCATCGTTAACCACTCCACTTTATATATCATCCGATAGAGAATTTCGCCAGCTACAAAATGATATATGAAATGTCGAGATCGAATAGGGCCTGGGTGTGCTAACACTATAAATACTATTGGCGACTGATGTTTTCGGCATCGACGGATAGGCCAAGTCCATATAAAACCAACCACCATTTACATCGACCTTTGACGTCAGTGACGAGACCTACCTCATATTATAGAGCTCAGCAAGCTGAACCGAATGGTGAAAATCGCAAGTGTATAGCCTTGTTAGAAAAAGAGCTATAGCCATTTTACACTCGCAACAGAAGAATACATTTTCGTCATTTTCCGGCCGATTTGGCTCGTAGAACGTCTGCTGACCACATTTCCTAACATAGAAACTTGAAGTTTGTATCTAATGGAAGAGCGCGTCGAGTTCTGCGTATTTCGACAGAGAATAGTTATGCAACATCTCGGAGTCTTCAGATAGAGATTTCAGAAAAATCCAGTTTTCTGTAAAACCTACTGATCTTAAAGTGTCTCTCAGAAGCTTTTAAACTATATCATTAGATGGCCCCTTCTATTCTCCATAAAATGAGATGCTCGCGAAGTTTCTACGATCGTGGACCACCGAGTTACAAGGTTTTTAACATTATGAATGTAAATTCAGATCTGTGAATATGAGCTTGATCTGAAAGGGGCCGATTTTGTCTCTTATCGACCTCCGTTCTTTCGCAGACGAAGAACTATTTCTCAAGCGCTTGTATCTTTTCCGCTAAATTTTTGCTATATGTTTTTCACCTGATGGCCGCATCGTTGCCCGATATAAGGGACTGAAGACAGGAGCGTAGAACTGTGCTTGGTGGTTTTCTTCCTTGCTGTCTTTTACTTCATATCAGCATTTTCCCACTGCACTAAAGTGTAAACTACGAGTTATGATGATACATTCATATGAAGGCCGTACACTTATCTATATATTTAAATAGTCTTTACAAGTGATCACTCATATGTTACTAGCTATACTATACATAAATATCGACCATATCTAACGTCGACACGACTGTGTACGACGGATACTTTTACTAACAGCTGCTAGTAGTATAGCTAATAACATGTGAGTGATCACTTTTAAAGACTATTTAAATGTATAGATAAGTGTACGGCCTTCATATGAATGTATTATCATGACTCGTAGTTTCCTTTAGCACAATTTAGTGCAGTGGGAAAATGCGTAGTTGGAGAAGTACAGCGTAGGAAAGGTTGGAAGATCGAATCCAGGAGAAGAACACCTAAAAATTCTTCTAAAAAGAATCCTTTCTGTTTGTTGAAAATCACTGAAAGAGATATAGGTATTTTTATCATTACGACGGTTATTGGTTCTCGTCAGACTAGTACAGCTTCCGCCACCTCTTAGGAATTATAGTCACTCAATGAAAAAGTGAAGCATGATGAAGTTCAGTATGGCTGCAACGATGAACGCCACACCCCACCCACACACTTCACGCATTACAATGTAACCTGGTGCTGAAGCATCGACTCCAAAGGAATTAGAAAATACAAGATGAAAATCATGGGGATGCTTTGAATGGGGTTCGTAACGAACAGACGAAAAAATGGGTCAACCTTTATTCGTGAAATTTTAAATCAACCGTTTTCTTTGCAGTTTTTGGTGCTCTTTGCATTGATATGTCTAAAAGGAAATTTCATCCATTCATTACCGAGATAGAGAGTTTACATGTTGACCATGTCAACTTTACTTTAGCTCGTCGGTACCGAAGAGAAAGTACCCGAGCATTGATGTCGACCTACAGACAAGAATAACCAATATTTTAAATTGTTTTTCGACAAATATACTTGAAGGAATGGGCAATATTTTGGTGAAAATCGTTTGCCGAAAGATCAGTCCTCTGCTGAGTTATGGTTAAAACAAAAAAGAGTTTGGGCCTTACGGAAAATTTGTGTGGCAGTAGTAAATCTGCTGTCCCTGTCTATAATCGTTGTATACAACGACTGATGTCGTGCAGTCGATGTTTCTAGTATTGATATTTTTATGGTTAGTTTTTGTGTCTGTTGTTGATATACGCTTTGTTCTTTTATACAGTGCCTGATACAAAGTCATGCAAATGCGAGAACCACAACTGTTTGTGTTCTCATATGGTAGGTATCATAGAAGAAGTCTGAAATCGAGTTTATTTCGTACTTTCAGTGTATGCCGTATCCAAATAATGATGATGCAGAATTTAATTCTGTACTCTGCTAAAAGTTCATTACAGACAAGTTTAGGGAAATAAAATGCCAGATCTGAACTATGCTGGTTTTTGGCGGGAGGAATTTTCTCGTTTTTTAAGTGTGTTTTCAGTCAGTTTGAGAATTCACGACAAACATTTGTAAAACTACATTGACCAACTAAGTCTTGTAGAATGAATGAACGACAACCGAATTACTCCCATAGACAAACGACTATTGCCCCATGTCCTGCAGAACGTTTATATTTGCACAAGGTCTGTCAAGGTTCTCGATCTGAAAGAATGTTCAACACTTCTTATCAAGATCTTGACAAGATTTGAAAACTTTTTTGTAATTAACAAAATCTTTGCTAACGAAGAAAGTAAGCAATCATTTTGATTACGACGTGGTTCAGAGGTTCGACAGAAATGTAAATATGCCAACTTTGCATTTATTTATAGTTATTGTAGCACTACACTGTAAAGGACTTCTTCCAAAATTCTGTTGGTCGATAGGCCAGATATGAGAATGAATGCTTGCACTACAGAACATTGAAAATTTTGAAAGTGAAATTCAAACATTGTGTTTGAATGTATATGGTTGCTTGTGCACTCTCAACAGCTCTGGTACTGTGTGCATAGTACCGTAGAGCTGTAGTGATACAGTAGAAAAAAATGAAAATATAAAGTAGAAAATAAAGTTTAAGATTTTCTTTCAAATTCCCGCATCTGTCAATGATGATTCTGCTAATTGCGTATTAAAATAATCATTTCAGAATTCTTGAAATATCTTGACAAGATCTGCTCAAGATTTAATCTTAAAATATTAATCAACAGACTCGATAATTAATGCATAAAAATCAGTGAGCAGAAAGGAAAGTTATAATCTAATCGGTATTTTGATATCGGTGAACGCCTATTTGTTGCCTGTTAGTTTGTGTTTAAGTGTCTGTCTGACAGAGCAGTATGTGAGGAAGTATGAGATACTTATCTCTCACCGATAATCCTTATAATACACCATTTTCTATGCAGTTTACTTTATTGTTACCTTCTTAAGGGCATCTCCTTTCGTGAGTGGCATCTTTTTAAAGAAAACGTCGATTTTTGGTTTTACTGATTAATAGGTTATCGATATCCCACTTTCATCATCATCATCATTTTATTTCGATCAAAGATTATCTAGGGCTGGCTGTTTACCATTACTGTTACTAGTAACAAAAGATGGTGGAACATGTGACAAAGAAGTATCTGAAATGTTTTTTAGCTTCTTTATCAGACGTTCCACCATCTTTTAGCACGTATCTCACTCTTACCCTCACAAAACCTTTTTAAAAGCAAAGTAACACCGAATAGCAAGTAAATAGCCACCCCTAAGGTTATCCGCATATACAAATAGCTAGTACAAGACACTAAAGGATCTTGCGGTATGACCATTCATAAGCACACACATAAAATAACAATAAAAAAACAACAACAAATCAAAAATGAAAAAAAAGAAAAGAAAAATTAATAAGCCAGAAAAAGTCCTCCCGACTAACAGACTAACAGCTGAGAACAACAAGAAGGCATCAAATTATAGCTGGAGTTGATTCGTCAAGTTATTTTTAAATTTTTTCAGGTATATTAAGTGATTCAGTAACAAGTTATACTCTCTAGAAGTGTTCCAGAAAAAGGGCGAACGAACAACAGAGAAGGACGAGAAAGGTATTTGCACGGTAGCTGTAGACGTTAAACGAGAATAGAACAGCTCCCTCGACGTTCTAAAAAGTTCTTTGGGACTGCCTCGTCTAGTTTTCTGGAAGTCTCATCTTGCTTTGGATTGGCATTTATCTCAAAACTACTTTATTCTAAGATGAATATGTCTTGTGCCACGGTTTCAACTGGAAGGAGTTGACCGAGAAGGGCCAAAATTTTACTACGGATACAACCTATCTAAAACTA